TAGAGGGAATGGATATTCAAAAAGTAGGTAGCTACCACATTAAGGTCAGGTTGTAAAACACTGTTTTTCACCGTAGTTTTTTGAAAAAAGACAACTTAGGGTGCGTTTGAGGCAGTTTGTGCATTTCAGTATAAGCTGCTTATCCTGAAATGCAGCCTGCGGGCGGGCCGCGGGGACGGCCTGCGTTTAGTGTAAAAGCCCAAACGCGATTTCGGATAAGTTGGCGAAGCGTGCGAACCAAATGGTACGGCGGCGTTTACGCCGCCCGCACTTATAAGCTGCCCCAAACGGGCTGTTAGTCAAAGACAAAAATTCGGTGCAGCCACCACACCGTTGCCCCCAAACGTGTTAGGCATGTTGCCAAATGATCCATGTGAGGTAATTGAAAGGTTGAATTTGCACTTGTGAATCATAGCAAGTATGCTAATCACATTTTCTAATTTTTTTTTTTGTTTTATATATATAGACTTTGTTTTTAATAAGAAGCATTTTAACTCTGTTAGTCTTATATTGTTTTAAAAATGATAAATTTACATTCAGAGCACACAATTCTCGTGTATTTACATATTGAACCCCTAAAGTTTGATATTTACATTTATGACACATGCATAAAGGAGTTTATTTCTTTTTTATGAAATTAGTGGTTTTTTTTTTTTTTTTTTTTTTTTTTTTTTTTTTTTTGTGTGGTTGTGATGTGATGTTAATGATTTGAGTTATGCGTGTAAGTAGGAGAGTATGGGTGTTAAATATGTTCATATTTAAGATGAAATAATATTTTATTTGTTGGGGGACGGAAAAAATAAAGGCTCTGTTGGGGTTACATTTGTTATGCAAACATTGGAATTGCTAAGAACATAATCTACTTGTATGACGGTAATTGGTGTCGATTCCTAAAATATATTTATTATATAACTCTTTTTTTTTTAAGTAACATGTTTATTTTGAAAGATGAAAAATAAAACAGTTGGCAGAAGACTTGAGGGCCTTATTGGCAACAATGGTCGAACGGATGTGTTGTATTGTATTTCCTAGGAATTTGTTCGGCACCTCCCTGCTTTGGATCCGATACACTCATTCGCGGAGGATTTCCAACAGGGTGTCGGGCCTGACCAAAGTTGTATTTGACACTTGACTTGAAGAGAGTCCCCTCCGACACGCGACTTGAAGAAAAAGTGAACTAAGACATAACCAATGCAGGGCTCATTACTTTTGTTGATTGGTCTTTCCCGCCTTCAATTCCATGCAAAATTTATCATATTTCAATCACTCTGACTAATAACATTTTTTTTTGGTCGGGAGCACAATAAGTGGAGATCCTGTGTGTAAAGCGGTTTTTTGAGAAAAAGCCTGCTATGACCCACCAAGAAATGACAATCAGGCACCACGATGAGATAATGCCAGTAGCTAACTTCTCCAAATAAGGAAAGAGAAAAATGAGTACTTGCACAAGAGGGGCATGTGTTAAGACAGTAATGTCAGGCTCGTCGAATCACTCGGCTACCATTCTCCGATGCTCGGGGAACTCGACCCAATCGGGCATAATGGTAGGACTAATCTATGGTCATAAAACTTGGCTGATATGGCTGGTAGATCAACCTTTGAAGCTCAGAGAATGCGTTGTCGAAACAAATAAGACGGAACAACCATTTTTTTTGATCGATTAGATCGAATCGACCAAGAAACAAAAGACAAAAAAAGAATCCAACCACTCGACTTCAAAGTAGATGCAACACAGTCATTTTTGCAAATTTTACTAATTCCAGTTATCTTGATCGAAAGATACATAACATCTAGTTAGCCATAAACTTAAAGGGAACGTCCGCTACAAACTTTAATGAGATCTGCCTCTCGAAAGAATTAGGAACTCTGTGTTGAAACTCACCCCTGATTCTTCCTCACTCCCATCAAGAGTACCCATCCTCCTTACTTTCGCCCCCTTGCATACTCTTTACGAGAAAGAGTGAAAGCTTGGGGGGTGACGAAGGATGGGAAAGCTGCTGCACAACAGCCCTTCACGGTCAAACACTTGCTCAGAGGCCGAAAGGCAACAACCATCAAGCGAATGAGGCGCCCCATAAAGTAACTGACGATATACTACCACGGGGCACCATAATCAGCTCAAAGAGAGAGTTTTGTGCCAATGCACCATCAAATTCAAATCCCCGGGTTTGCTCATTGTATTCTTCACATTCTTCCTTGCAAATCTTAAGAGTGACGAAGAGTGAAGAAACAGGTGCTTGCTGCCAGAAGGCTTATAAGCCTCACCCATCCCCTTCTGACAAGGAAGAGTTAAAGCTCTCCTGGCAGTAATCATCGAACAGATGTATTGAATTCCCTGGTACATGTTGGCAGTACAACATTTCCCTACGGGAAACCAAACTCGTTTGCTTGTTGGGGTTACTTTGATAGTCCACCTAGTCTGATGTCGCATTCGACATCTAACTCAGAGAAAACCTTCTCTTTCGACACACGACCCGAAGAAAAGGAAAATTAATGCATAGCCCATGCAAGGTCCTTCGCTTTTGCTGAGAGGTCACTTTTGTCATCGGCCCCATGCCGAGCCATACAAGCCACCATTATTTTCCACTAACAATTTTAAGATATAAGCGTAATCGGCAGAGGCCCCATCTCCCTTCTTCTTATAGAGGGAATGGTCAACAACCAAAACAGTGATCACCTGACAAAGGCCTGACCAAGACCACCGTAACAAAGATGACTGGGTGCATTGACAAGACAGATTGACGACTAGTTTCCTGAAAAAGTAAGAGAATAAATTCACATCACCATCAATGCAGAATTTAAATGTTGACCCACCAAGGTCACGACCGAAAAGCCCCAACAAAAAACCACTCGATTGCGAACTCTGGAATTCATTGGACATAGGTATGCCAAATAAAAAATAAAAATGAATGTGTGTGTGTGTGTGTGTTTGCAATAAATGAGGAATAATATGTATGGTCTTAATCTTAAGCCATTTAACTAGTTGCTCCACCTTCGCACCACAAACTCAAACCTTTGAAGTTAAAAAGACCTGGTCTTCAAGATGGTTATCTGCTAGCTAGCGATGAGATCCACAAATGAGTGTGGAACAAATCATTCCGAAGACAAGTCCTCAAGGGTAACCCTAATGAGTGATCACAAGAACCTTGCCTAGCAAGAGGAACAAACACAATCGAGGTAAAGGCCTTGTCGGTCAATCAGAGCAAGGGTATGTGATGATTTGGGCCCGATGCAAACCATTCAATCACCATATTTTAATTGGTCCCTATGAGAAGCGGTGGGGAGTTTGATTCAACTTCCAATCGATAGCTTAAATGAATCTTCAAAAACTTAAAGATTGACCAATGAAATATTGATAATTTTTCACTTGTTGCTACTTATATTTTTTGTATTTTACATGAAAATACTGCACTTTGAAGCAGGTTTTTATGTTGTTTTGTAGGTTTCAATGAAAGTAGAATTGAGCGAGAATCAAAATGGTTCGAATTGTAGAAGGAAGAAATGTTGCGTTTAGGGCCTAGGTGCCAGTCCCGTCCAAAATGAAGCAAAACCCCGAGCGTAAAAAAAGGTGGTGCCGACTCTTGGGAGCCTAAGCGTTGCCACCAGTGCCTAGGCATCATGATAGCAATGCCTTGGCATAAGAATTTCACATGGAGTGGTGCCTAGGTGTGAGTCACTGGGCTCTTAGGCGCTAGAAACAGTTTTGGCAGTTTCAATGGACAAATGCACTTGTTCACTTGGGCAAATTATAAAAAGGATGGAGATGAGTTAAGAAGGGCCTTTCAATTATTTTTATGCTATCATTCGGAATTGAAGTAGTAGGCCAAAGCTTTTGCAAAGAGATTAGAAGAGACAAAAAGAGAGAGATTGGAAGGATTGAGAGAGTTGACTGTATGTTGTTAGTGATATCCTAAAACTACCTGTTTGTGAAGGAGATAAGTGTGTTTACATTGTATTTTCCTTAACACTGCTTTGTAAAAGACTTGGATTTTGATGTTTATGCATAAAGCTAAGTTTGCTTTGATTTGTCATGAATAGTGAGTAGTCTTCTAATTTCTTTCTTTAATTGAGATTATGAATGGATAGGATAAAGGAGTTAAGATTGGTTGGGTTTTGATTTTAATTTAAAAGTGTTGTCTTAACTTGAGAACTTATTATACTTTCTACTTGGTCAGTTGATTCTTAAAACCTTTTATGAATATTGATATTCTGAATATTGATATTCAGAAGGATTCTTTATGGAACAAAAAGAGTTAACTACATGAACCGTTATAATAAGGATATTGTCAATGGATTTGTGCAATCTTCTAGGAGTAATTTTACTTTAAGTAGATCAAGAGTTTTAGGGAACTAAGCTTAAGACTGCTAATCTTTTTTAGACCAGTAGAAGTGGATAAAGAAGAATTTTTCTTCTGATTGACACGTTTTTAATCTAATCCTTAGTTTTATTCATCACTTGATCAATTAAAGCGGGAAAAGTCTCAACACCTATTTTGATATAAGAATCTTTTTGCTTGTTAAGATAGACATGTTTTTCATAATTTTTAGATATGTTTAAAATTGAACTTGCTAATCAAACTCTTGAGGCTTGGAATGATAGTACTACATTAGAACTTTTCCTTCGTTGAGTTCTCCTAGTTCTCTGTGGGATCGACAATCAGACTCAAACGCAGTACTATTGATACACAACATATACTTATGTGAGCAGCTCATGATTCACAACACTTGGTGCGTGTCAACCAAGGAGAGCGTGACATCTAAAATTCGGGGTTTAGCTCTGAAGGTGACCAAGACACACGCCAACAACAAGAACTGCGACAAGTCACAAAGGTCGCCTCAGATGCAAGTCTCTCCCGAGGTGACAACCCAATCAAACGGATTAACGAAACCTCTCGGTCGGCTGGTCCATACGGTAGATCAACTTACAAGATGAGCACACGATCAGTCAAAACACAATGAATACAAAAAAAAAAGCAAAAAGCTAACCATTTTTCTCATATATCCAAAAAAAAGGTACACACATCTTTCTTAGCTAACCATTTTTCTCATATATCCAAAAAAAAGGTACACACTGATTTTAAAAGGGGGGCGGTGGAGAAGAAATTCTCATTTTGCAGGAACTGTCCTCTTCCTCAGGACTTTCTATCGACTTGTCTAGGCTTAGGGCGAAGAACTATTTCGGATCAGAGAATTTGGGGTCAACCAAGCCGTGACGAAGCCTCTTCTCATTCAGCTCAATAATATCCTTCTCTAAAGCCGCAATAGTACTGATGAATTCCTAATTGGCTTTCTCAGAATTGTCGAGCTTTACCTTCAAGAGGTCTCGGTCGTTACAGATGCTATTAAGGTCCACCTCTAGCGAAGCCTCCTTTTTCTTAGCCCTGTCCAATGATCCCTCCAATTCAATCACGGTCAGCCCCAGAAAATGGGCACCCTGTGCCCCCGTGAACTGCCGCAGGTTCACATTTTGAAGTAGTTCCAGGCGGGTGAAGCCCCCCAAGGTACCGCTGAGTTCCTCAAAGCATAGCAAGTCCAAGAAAGTCTAGGGAATGCTTTTATTCTCACTCATCTGTGTGTAGATGTCTAAAGACCGATCTAGTATACCGAGCTACGTCCCCCCTAGCACCCTTATGCATGTGGGCTCACACTCTAAGGCTTTCCTACTCCTCTTCAAAGGAGGGAGGCACAAGACTTCTAGTTCCTCTGCCAGCTCCTTCCCCCATCGATGAATCCCTTTTGCCTCGGGAAAAGGCGAGACATCATCATTGGAAGATAAAGCTGACTCTCCAAATGAAAAATTGGACGAGCCAATAGAGGTAGTCTATCTAGCTTAAGCTCTCGCAAATAAGGCGACAAAGGAAGGGTCCCCAACATGCGAATCCGGGGGAGCAGTGGTGGCCAAAGATGCGCCAATTTTTTAAGAAGAGGGGGTTGCAGTCATGGCTTCATCTGGAACCCCTTTAGAGTTGGATGCTCTCCCGTCACCTTACCCTATATCAACAAAGAGAGAAGCATGTTTCCGAGAAATAGTAGTAGCCATGTCGTTCACCTGATCTTGAGCAGCAACGATAGTTTCAGACACAAAGACTCTCGAGCCCACATCAAAAGGGAGCGGATCCTCATCCCCTATGGAATTATTTGGTCTCGAGAGATGCCTCTACTTCTTATGTTTAGCATCCAGTTTGTCCTTCGTCACCTTTGCTCGGACTGCCACCTCGATGCCCAGGAGATGCCACTGATCCTCCATCATTGTGTCCGTCAATACGTGAGTAACTATTATCTCGGCATTATACTATGGGACCGAGAGATAACTATTGGTCAGCATCGCCTTGGCAACTTCCATGCTCAAAGGACGAGACTTTAGCCTGTTCACCACTTGCTCAGATGGCTCGGTCCAGATCCCGAAGGCACCATTACAAGAACAAACCATAAACTTATTCTTCCAATCCTTTATTTTATTTTCCACTCTCAACAGGTGGAGTTCCTTGGCCTCCGAAAACAAAGCGAAACCTTCCTGATCGATCTTAAATGAGTAAACATGCTTAAATAGGTCAATGAACCATGCTATACGCTCTCGACAACAGTAAAGAACGAAGGTCATTATGGCCGCTACGGAGTTTGGCAATACTTGCACCGAAATAACCCTATACGTGTTGAAGACACTCCAGAGCTCGTCGCACAAAGGTAACCAGAGGCCATGTTTAAACTTGTCTCGGTAGAAGACGTCCATCACTTAAGCCGACCCTGACATCTTTCGAAGAGTGACGCTATCATGTAGAACGTACTTCCTCTGCAATTCCTTCACTTCTTTCTCCATCAAAAAACAAAGGATCAACACCCTTGACAGAGAAAAAGAGGGTAGGGGAATGTTTCAAAGCTATTTTAAAGAACAGAAGACGGCTAAAAGATGAAAGAAAAAGAAAGATCGGATGCACAGAAAAGAAACCAAGGCTCGTAAAATAAAAAGAAGTGATCCCTAGTCCTACTTATAAGACGAACGTGCAAAATGATGTGTCACATAACCGAACATCTCTTCAAATTTATTCAAATGTCGTTTCATTTTCAAATAACATTATTACACGTCTATAACAAAGTGCTTTATGAACGCGTCCTCCAATGTCTCAACGGGGGCATACCCCTTCTGAGTTAGCCTTTTGATGATCATCTGCCCATCTATCCTAATTTGATCCATTCGGTCAGTTTTTTATTGGAACTTGCTTAGGTCATTCGGCTCGCGAAGCTCCCTCAGCTCATTCAGCGTGTCGACCAGCCCACTATGCAAGGTGGCAATCTCCTCCTACATGGCTAATACATTCTAGCCCATGGTCGCTAGATGGGTTGATAACACCCATACAAAATCTACAATGAGACCTCCAGCCACTACCTCCGGAGAATCGACCATCACCGCCAAGGGTTTAGACCCCCCTGTTTGCTACTCTATGGCTTCAAAGGAAGACGACCACCACTCTATTCGCTCCCATTCAGAGCCGATAGCAGGCAAAGGATCAGGGGACCAACCCCCTTCAGAAGTGATTGCCGGCAAAAGTCCCGCATATTCGGCCTACAAACCGACCAATACAATGGGGGCAGACTCCGCAACGTCCTTCGTCGGCTCACCATCCTGGCGATCCTCTGACTCATTCAATTCATCTACATTGGAATAATATCAAAAATTATTGAAAAATATCAACAGCCAAGGAAAATTTTACATTCCCATAAATCCATCTATAGAAGAAAGGATCTTAAAGGGCTTCTCTCCCTCTCGCGCTGATCTCCACCATCCTACAATAGCGATTGAGAAGATAAGATGATCGCTCCTCCCGCATCACCTCAACGCCTCCAGCTAGCAGGTCCTAAAAACCTATTTGTTTAATATTTTTACATTTTTTTTTTCTAAACTAATTTAGTTTGCATTTTAAAACACTATAAACATCTAAAAAATATTTGAGTTTTAAAAACCACCCAAAACATCTTACAACATATCAAATATATTTTATTTCAAGTAAAATATATAAAAAAATAAAAATAAAAATCAAATATGTTCCCAAACAGCTCCTATGTGTAAATAAATTATCAAATTATAACCAGTTTATTCATCATAATTTACCAATTTATAATGAGCTATTTATCAAAAGCTCGCTTTCTGATTTATAAACTGCCTACCTTCCTGGGTTCCTCCCTCTCTAAGCATGCTTCACAAGTAATATAACTTAGACCAGCATTTCTGATGTTAACATGAAGAGTGAAATATGAATCAGGATTTTGTTTTGAGCCAAACCCAACCAATCAACACTAAGATTTGCTTCACAAGAAAGTGTTTTGTAGGACCAATACATAGCTTTGCTCCACTCCTAATCATGTTGTTAATCACAATTTATTTGTCTTTCACCTTCAATTCCATGGTTTTCAACAAAAAAAACCATAGTTTCATATAAATAATGTACATAAGATTTAGAAAATTACAATAATAATCTCACAAATGTTTCTAATCAGAATGTTAGATATTCAGACCTGCATCAGCCTCAATGATTTGAGCCAAGAATGATCAAAAGAAAAAATCAGCAACAATTTGTAATTGCAGACATTTCTTGAAGGACTTATTTTTCACCAATCTATGCCCAACTCTCGTGCGAGGAAAAGCTCTTCGACATAGCGAATGACAGGACCCGACGACGTTATGTATTTCTGCATCTGAACTCTAGCTGATTCCTCTGCAACAAATAAACATGATAGAGCAACCAGAAATGAATTTATATATACATTTTTAATTTAAAAAGAAATGGTAGGAAACTATTATACGAGCCCCGGTCATCCCTCATGTGCCTAAGAATTCGTGTACCACACCCTACACTCGGGAGTAATTGAACCCGATAACAGAGAGGACTTACAACTGACAAGCAGATGCCCAACCAACTGATCTGAGTAGGCGACACAAATGAATTTATATATATATTACATTGAATATGATAATTAAAACATACCATCTTCATTTAGCTTCTTCAAAAGTTGGGATCTAGAGGGCAGGGCGTACATTCCAGCAGCAACTGCCTTTCTAATTGCCCACCCATGATGAGGAGCAAAAACTTTGGAATAAGCTATGGATGCAGGATCCTTGAGAGAGTTCCCACTGATGCATAAATGGAAAGGAATCAGCAATGACACGGAGTAAGTAACACTAGATTACTCGTTAGCGTCGCCATTGTTCGTCTCCTGAATGTCTGAGGTTAACTTTATGAATTCTATAATCTTTTTCATTGCATATGGTGTTATCTACACTTGTTTTTCAATTGCAATATATGATAAACAAACATCATAGGTATTTAAGTACAAAAAAATAAGAAGATCACATATACATATAGATTTTATAAACTTACAATAAGGAACTCGTGCTACATAATTAGTGTTAAGCAACCATGATTTCACAAGGGGAGTGGAAAAAACAAAAAACATTAATGGTGAATATGTGATAAAACATAAAATATTAAAAGTAAATATTAGAATGGTTTGTGTGCCTGTATTTAATAAAATAATAAGAATTAATTATTAATCACAAGAAAATTCTTTAGAACATACTCTGCTACTAGGATTTCCTCAAAAAGCACTTTGACCATGTCGATTCCGCGCTTCACCCTAAGAAGATTTCGTGAATGACTCCCGCCTTGCCTTACACAATCGGTCCTGATGTCTAATTCAAGCATAGATTGCAACGTTGAAATAGATTTTGCCGCTTCTTTAAGATCTTCTACCTGTTTTTACCCATGAAAATAAATAAGAAAGTTAAAGCAAACTAGTATTAAAAAAAAGATATAACATCAAAAAACACCAAGTAGATCATGCTGCAAATTTGTATCTCAATTCAATACTTTTGAATAATTTAAAATTTTGATATCTAGAACAGCCAGAACATGTTCAGATGAACTATAAAATCATAGAAGTTTTATTCAAACTGCATGATATATTTGTACTAGCATTCACCAATAATATTTTAAGACATGACTAAAATATGATAATCAAGAATGGAAAAATAGCATAATTATAAATATAAAATGTATTTGTTTGTTGTCATAAACGGTGACAGTAGAGTTTGAGTTAGTTGGTCATTGTGAGCCCAATATTACGTAACAGACCAGCACAAGAGTTATATCCTAGGAAAGTCCCTCTAATGCTCAAATCAACAATTAAACTTTAACTGTGAATAAAAACTAAAAATATTTCAGTCAAGTTTCCCTTTGGGATGAAGAAAGAGACTCAAAGAAGAGCCCTACACTCTTCTTCAGCGAAATAAGAAATCAACATGCCAATCTGGGAGTTTCACCATTGGGAAGACACATTGACTTCACTTATGAAAAGGCACAAGCAATCTTAACTTGGAAATAGTTTCTTATGAGACATTTCAAATCAAACAAGCCACAACAAACTAGTGTTAAGTGAAAATAATTCCAAGACCGGTCGGTCAAACCTTAATATGGCATTCTGTATCCCTGAGAAAGTATTTACATTGATATCCAAAAGATTGTAATATGGGAAGATTAAGGCTAGATCACCAGATTAGAATACCTCCTCATGAAAATGATCTAATTTTGATGAAATATTTCAAGTATAAAGATAATTAATCAGGACCTCAAAATACAAGGATAATTAATGCGCCCCTTAAAATTGTTGATTATGGATTAATCTCAATCATCAAATCAAAATCTTCAAAACTTGCACTTTCACAATCTCCATGCTACAAAAGATTTGTGAAAGTTCATCCATCAAGTATAAGATAACTAATCTTAAGGTACCAATTGTAACACCTAGAAATACCAATAATTTTGGAAAATATATCTTAAATTATGAATATAAACTAAATTCATCATCCCAAACCAATTTGTTAACCTAACTAAATTATGTCAGATAAAAATTACTAAATGGCTCACATCTAACATTATATTAGAATAAATATAAAGAATGAATCCCATTTCCAATACATCAATAATAACAAAAAGGTGATTGGAATGTTGATGTAAAGAACTTTGATAACTGATACAGCCAATTTAATCCAACTTCCAGTGCTACAATTAAAATTGAACTTTATTATGCTTTAATTAAATATGATATTTCATTTTCATTTAGATATATATATATATATGATCTTTTATCTAACATGTTTAAAAAGGGTAGGGCATCCTCAAGAATAACGGAGGAATCATGCAACAAAAGGAAACAATGAAAAAACAAAGAAGAGAAAACTTCACAAGAGAAAATAGCAAAGGAATATGCATAAGCAAGCCGGAGCCCTTTTTTACACTTGATTTGGCATCCTCCCATTTCATCCATTCCGTGATGACTACAAAAAGGAAGCTCAAATAAGAAGAAAACACTCTCCTCACCAAGTCCCTCGAAAAAAAAAAAAAAAAAAAAAAAAAAGAATAGACACTCAAGAGTCCTCACCACATCCCTCATTCAAGTAACCCCTTTTTTTTTTTTTTTTTTTTTTTTGCAAAGGATGCTTCCAATTGAATCCTGTCTCAAAAAAGTTTCAGCTTCCGTAATTGATCTCAACTACTGAACTAAAGTACTTTTCCACATCTCTATTTTTCATAATCATGCTCCTTGTAGCTAAATCCACGTCTAAGCATAAAAAAACTTTTCTTGCGAGTGATAGTCCCTCCAAGATCTTATCAACAAAAACTAATGATGGTTTATCCAAAAAAAGACACTATTTGGAGAGTTCTGATAATACTTTAAATCCTTTAGACAGCTCTATCGTAAAGAGTTTTTACTAGTCCTCTATTGTAGCAAAGAAAATCTTGGTCAAACATAGAACCATCCCAACAACTTCGCACAAACTCTCATTGCCTTCATGTTCGCTATTTTTAATTCCTTTACAAGTACTACTGATCTCAATTGCACATCAACGACCATGTCTGCAACCTTCTAGTTAATTTCCAGTAGCACTTGAATGTGCACATGGATTATCATTATTGTACCAAATCACCTCGTCAATATACCAAATCATATCAACAACTTCCAAAACATCTTAGAGCCTTCTAGAATAGATAACTATTTTAAACTCTAGTAGTTAATTTGTCACAATGGTCAGAGACTTGGTCCAGAAAGAGGTTTCTCGGCAGTCGTAAATATCAAGTTTCAAAAACATATAGTATCATGTCTGCACCTCATAAATACTCAATTGTCCCACCAGCCAACTCAGCCACCTTGTCCGAGTGCTCTACAATGGCTCATTGGCCACCACATCAACCACCTCAACAAGGACACTAGTCACCTTGTTGACAACCTTGGCCATCTTCTGGAATCTCTTAGACTCCCAAAACATATAAAATATTTCCAAAAAATCCCATATATACACTCATCAAGAGTAATCAAGCATGAAAACTCCCATGCAAGGGATCTAAATGGAAATTTAAACAAAATTTAAACTGAATGGTTGTTTATAAAGGAAAGCTTGACTCAATTACTGTACTTAGAAATGGAAATAACCTAATATAGAAAAAATAAAAAAAATAGAGACCTAATTGTGTTCTCTGAAAAAAGGTAGGGATCTAATTATCGTCCTGTTAAAGACAAATTAACTCTCTAGTTTATGCTATTCATGTGCTCATAGGCTCACAAGTATTATTCTCCATACATAGGCTAATACACTTCAAAAGATCAATAATTCTATAAATCACATAAAATGCCTATCATATACTTTATCTGGAACTTAAGAAAGTAATTTAAGTGCTATAAATTTAAATTCAGATGCAGATTAAGGAAATTCTCCATTACATCTAAATCCACATGAAAGAAATTCAAGAATTCAAGTTCTTAGCCAGTTTAACGACTAGTACTTCACAGGCAGTATTGTATATATATGCATGATCTAGTTCCCTAATTTCTTAATCCCCGCTACAGCAGAAAAATCTGTGAGGAAATTGAGCTTCAAAATAGTCCAACAACTTAAAAATTTAGAATGAAAGTTAGCACTTTGTGTATATAAGAAGGAGAATTCCATAAAAATCAAAATGCTGTGAAAGAAATTGGACATATTTATATTTATGTGGCTTCGCACTTGGCAACTTAACCCAGGTACAGCTAATCAAAGCAGAAGTCCAATGTGCAAACTTAATTTATGCCTTTTTATTTTTCCAAAAGGCACCAGTTTATTGGTGGTATATATTATGTTAAAATACTATTTCATGTGAGAATGTTATTTTACAAAAACTGGCAAGTTTTCATCAAGGAGCAAACAAGTGGACATTCAACTTCTATAGATACAATTTGTTTGCCACTTGTTCATATACTCAAAATATCATCTACTTCTTCTCATTGCTCTAAATGTTAATTCATTGAAAATTTCTAAAAGGGAGCATTCAGATTTGTTGCTTTCAAGTTTCATAGCTTTCTTTTCATGCTACAGGTGGCTGGTTGATTAACCTTTAAGCAAACTCTTATAAAATGGGGATAAATATCAACTCGAGAAAATAAAATCTGTAAACCTCAAAACCATAGAGTTATGTTTTAATTCATAGCTTTCCAGCATTTGAAATTTCCTTTCAGCTGTTCAGTACGGGTTCAAGTTTATTAGTCACCGCCCTGGTTCTGCTTTCTCGGTTCTGTTATGTTTGTTTTTGGTCTTGTTGTCTCTGTGTTACTTGTCTTCCAATCTTATAACTCTATATCTAAAAGTGTCATATATCCTCTCATGTAAGTCTCTTCACTTTTATAAGATCAAAAAGTTTGTGATTCAACATGGTATCAAGCGTCACAAAAAACCTGTTTCTCTCAATCGTCTTGCCTGAATTTCTTTTGGTTTTCTTCTTCTTCCATTTCCATTTGGCTCTTTCTCATGAGTACCCTTTCTAATTCCTCAACTGTTGTTGTCATGGCAACCAAGCTGAGCAATTCTCTTCCCAGTGATAGGTCAGATCCCAACTCAGCTGAAATTTCTTTTGGGGAACATAAAAAATACCGTATCAGTTCCTCTTATTAACAATAATCATCCCACCTGGACAGCACAAGTGATAAAACGATTTCGTGCCAAAGGCTATGAAATCTTTCTTAATGGCTCTTGCAACAGTCCAAACCAATACATCTAAAGACCCTTCAGGTATCGAAATTCATAATCCTGACAATAGCAAATATATTTTCATTGACCAGAATCTTCTCGCTGCTTTCTATTCTGTTGTCTCCACATACATTCTCCCCTATCTTCTCTATTTTGACACATGTGTCGAAATCTAGAACATTGTGGAACGAAGGCTTCAATCATCCATTTGATCTAACATCCTCCAGCTCAAAAATGAATTACACAACATTTCAAAAGGAGATGAGATCATGAATCAGTATCTTTCAAAAATCAAATATAAAGTGGATATCCTGGCCACTGTTGGAGTAATTCTTGACTTTGAAGACATATGTCGCTGCACTCTTAACAACCTTCCTTCCAGTTATCATGCTTTCCAGACGTCTATCTACACTAACTTGAAGCCCATTAGTCTTGATGCTTGTAAATCTCCACAGTGAGAAACTCAACCTGACATGAGAAGTGACCAAAGAAGCAAAAACAAACATAAACACCGCGCTTGCTGCTGCTCAGGTCATAGCAAGTATAAGAGCCATGTTAGATATTATAGTTTTGTATTTCTATTGTTTTATCAATTAAGGGTAGTTTAGCCTTTTCACTTATTGTACATATATATACTCTTGTAATGAGGTAATTGGGTAGATTTGAAACCCTAGACACTTTTGTTAGTCTCCTCTT